AGAGGAAAAGAAAGAAGAAGAAAATGAGGATGGGAGGACAAGAAAGAAGAGGGAAAGAGAGAGAAAAAGAGGAATTTTGAAGAAAGAAAGGGAAAGGAATTGAAAGCGCAAGAGAAGGAAGGAAGAAGAGAGAAGGTAAAAAGATAATAAGATAAATAAATAAGCAGAGAGAATGGAATAAAAACGGGGAATAAGTGATAAGAAGAGAGGAGAATAAGAGAGGAAAAGAAAGAACAAAAATAGAGATGAGAGTAAATGAAAGGTAATAAGGAGAAAGAGGGAAGACAACAAGAGAAGAAAAGGGATAGAAAGGAAGATTGAAGAAAGGAGGAATAGGAGGAGAAGGATTGAAAAGCTGAAATTAAGGTATACGAAAGAGAAAGAGGAAATTATATGAAGAAGAAGAAGAGGAAAATGAAGAAGAAGACTTAGAAGAAGAGAGAAGAAAGAGAAGAAAGAGGTTACTAAGGACGTAGGGAGAACAAGGAGAAAAGGGAGGGAGGGAGGGGTAAGGGGTAGGTAAGATGAAGGGAAGGGATGGGTAGATGGAAGGGAGCGAGGGAGAGAGGGAGGGGAGGGAGGAAGGGAGGGAATAGGAGAAGGAGGAGGAGGGAGGAGGAGGGTAAGGGGATTCGTAAAGGGTAGGGAAGGAGGAGGAGGGAGGAGTAGGTAAGAGAGGGAGGAGTAAGGTAACGATGGGTAGAGGATAGGGAAGAAAGGAAGGTAGGAGGACGTCGATAAGGGAAGGAAGAAGGAGGAATAAGGAATAAAGAAGGAGAAAGAGGGAAGGCTTTGGGCATAGAAAGGTAGGTAAGGAAAGAAGGAGAGAAGGAGGGGGGAGGGCAGGGGGGGAGGGGAGGGAGGGGAGTAGTAGAAAGGGAGGCTACGTCTGTCCAAGGAAGGGCGTATGGAGGGGGAGGGGAGGGGAGGGGGAGGTAAGGAGAGGGGGAGGGGAGGGTAAGGAGGGTAAGGAGGGGAGGGAGGGGGGGGGAGGGGAACGAGGACAGCGGGCAGCATCTATAGCATATTCTTCGCGTCATTTGAGCAATTCTGAAAAGAGCGGAAGCGAGCCGGGCCTTCTCTGAAAGGAGAAGAATGGCGAACGATTACTCTTTGTAGGAGAGGGACGGGAGGGAGGGAGGGAGGGAGGGAAGGATGGGTAGGAGGGAGGGAAGAGGAAGGGGAGGGAGGGAGGGAGGGAGGAGAGGGAGGAGGGGGGAGGAGGAAGGAAGGGACGGAGGGAAGGATGGGTAGGAGGGGGAAAGGGGAGGGAGGGAGGGGGAGGAGGGAAGGGAAGGAGGGAGGGATGGGCAAGGGGTAGAGGGAGGGAGGGAAGGATGGTTTTGAGGAGGGAGGGAGGAGGGGGGGAGGTAGGAGGGAGAGGAAGGAGAGGAAGGAGGGAGAGAGGGAGAGAGGGAAGGAGAGAGGAGGGAACGGGAGAGAAAGGGGGTAGGGAGAGAGGGAGGGAGGTGGGAGGTGGTAGGAGGAAGGGAGGATGGGTAGGAGGAGGAGAAGGAGGGAAGGGAGGAAAGGGAGGGAAAGAGGAGGGAGGAAAGGAAGGGAGGAGGGAGTTTGAAGGAAGAAGGTAGGTTACGTTTGTGAAGGTTGGAGGGATTAAGTAGGATAGGAGGGAGGGAGGGTAGGGAAGGAGGAAAGACTGAGGGAAAGGAAGGGAAGGAGAGAAAGAGGGGGAGAGACTAAGGGAGGGAGGGAGGAAGGAGGGAGAGATGGTAAGAAGGAGGGAGGGAAGAAGGAGGGAGAGATGGTAATGGGAGGGAGTGAGGTGTGGAAGGATAGTAGGTAGGGGGAGGGAAAGGAAGGGAGTACAGGAAAATGAGAAAGAGAGAGAGAGGAGAGAGAGAGAGAGAGAAGAGAGAGAGAGAGAGAGAGAGAGAGAGAGAGGAGAGAGAGAGAAGAGAGGGAGAGAGAGAGAGGAGAGAGAGAGAGAGAGAGAGAGAGAGAGAGGAGAAGAGAGAGAGAGAGGAAGAGAGAGAGAGAAGACAGAGAAGAGAGAGAGACAGAGAAAAGAGCGAGAGAGACAGAAAAACAGAGACAGAGAAAGAGACAAAGACAGACAGAGACAGAAACAAGAGACAGAGACAAAAGACAGAGACAGAGAAAGACAGAGACAGAGACAGAGAGACAGAGAAAGAGAGAGACAGACAGACAAAGAGAGAGAAAGACAGAGACAGAGACAGAAACAGAGAAAGAGACAAAGACAAAGAACAGAGACAGAGACAGAGAGACAGAGACAGAGACAAAGAGACAAAGACAGAGACAGAGACAGAGACAGAACAAGAGAGAAAGAGACAGACAGACAAAGAGAGAGAGAAAAAGACCCAATCCTCACACCCAATCGCACACACATCACAGCATCCCAATCCCTCCATCTCCTCAACTCAACTTCTTGGAAGATGCTGCAGGTAAGGAGGTTGTTCTCCCATTCATTCCGAGGAGCAGGATGTGGCTGACCGTTCCTTTGGCCTCCTCCTCCCCCTCC